ACATACATACATACATACATACATACATACATACATACATACATACATACATACATACATACATAGAGTTAGGACATGTCGCTAGATTTAGCTGCTACGTACAAGATTTAAGGAATATTGTTTTTTATATCTGTTTTGTACGAATTGTGATTTATGCTAAAGTGTACGAACAGGAATAATATAATATGGATCATTTTAAATATTTTAGATTTGGCGCGCCTTGCATTTTTGAAGAAAAGAAATCATATTTTGCATATACGCGTAATTTCCAACATTTATTAAGAAATGGATATTTTTCTCCTCCACAACGATGACGAGTTTGTATGAATTGAATATATATATATAAAGAGAGAGAGAGGTGGTGTGTGTGTGCGTGTGTGTGTGTGTGTGTGTGTGTGTGTGTGTTTGTAAGAGGCGCGAAACGGGGACATCATTGTAAATACACACCAACAGACCGGGGACACACCTCGAAACGGGAACGACCCCGTCTTTTAATGTCGGCTTAAATGGATTGTAAATAACTTTTTTAATGACGCAGACCTTAAAATAGGCGTATCTCAGCTTGTCCCCGTTTTGTTGGTATATTTTGAGATCGTGCTATACACAACAATACACACCTCCCACTCGATTCAAAACATCCTATCAGTGTGTATCAGTCGGAAAAATCCGTCATCGTTAAGTTTTAAAAATTCTCACTTTTTGCTGTTGGTTTGTGCACTTCGCTTCTGAAGCACTCACCGATGATGGGATCAAGAAGACCTAACATGATTTAAATTATTTATATATATATATATATATATATATATATATATATATATATATATATATATATATATATATATATATATATATATATATATATATATATATATATATATCATATGGCGAATAACAACCCATTCAAGAGTACTGGATCCAACAAGGGATCACGTGTGTCAGGGAATAATTAAAATAGATGCAATAAACTGACGATAAACAAATAAACACAAAAACGTTGTGTTTGTAAACCTCTACATGGCTGTCTTCACATGTGCTAAAACTATAAATACAACCAGCTTGTATAGACTAGATGCGGAAACTGAAAACGTTGCATAATTCCCTAAAAGTCTACAAGCCAAAGCGATATCTATTTTTACTTTATGTACATATGTAACGCAGATTATATATTATATCTATTCAATATGATAGAGACCAGGACATTCACTAGCACAGTGACTAAAGAAAAACTAAACATACATGGTCCAAACAAAACGTAGAAAACAGAGAATGTGATTTATCTCATCACATGTAAGATCTGTGGCCTTCAGTACGTCGGAGAAGCTGAAAAGCTACACAAAAGGATAAACCTTCATAGATCTGATTGGATGACAAAAAAGCTGTACAGAAGCCCGGTCGCAGAACACTTCTCCTCCCCTGGCCACACTTTCAGTGATATAATACTTATCGCTATTGCTAACAACCACAGCTGGAGTTCCGAAACCAGGAAGGAAAAGGAATCATACTGGATACGCCGCCTTAGAACATTGAAACCAAGCGGTCTAAACCAAGAAGACTAGAAAATGAAAACTATGCACTAGTAAAATTTAATATTTTTCTAAATCTTCTTATTATCCTTCAATTTTTACTATAAGAATAACCGGTATATAATCAAATATCCGGGATATAATCTGCGTTACATATGTACAAAAAGTAAAAATAGATGTCGCTTTGGCTTGTAGACTTTTAGGGAATTATGCAACGTTTTCAGTTTCCGCATCTAGTCTATACAAGCTGGTTGTATTTATAGTTTTAGCACATGTGAAGACAGCCATGTAGAGGTTTACAAACACAACGTTTTTGTGTTTATTTGTTTATCGTATATATGTTTTGTATTTGCCTTTGAAAAAGACTCATTAAGAGTCGAAAGCGCTTAGGCTAATTAGTTACTAGTTTCGTACTGTTCGTCGTCAGTTTATTGCATCTATACATACATACATACATACATACATACATACATACATACATACATACATACATACATACATACATACATACATACATACATACATACATACATAGAGTTAGGACATGTCGCTAGATTTAGCTGCTACGTACAAGATTTAAGGAATATTGTTTTTTATATCTGTTTTGTACGAATTGTGATTTATGCTAAAGTGTACGAACAGGAATAATATAATATGGATCATTTTAAATATTTTAGATTTGGCGCGCCTTGCATTTTTGAAGAAAAGAAATCATATTTTGCATATACGCGTAATTTCCAACATTTATTAAGAAATGGATATTTTTCTCCTCCACAACGATGACGAGTTTGTATGAATTGAATATATATATAAAGAGAGAGAGAGGTGGTGTGTGTGCGTGTGTGTGTGTGTGTGTGTGTGTGTGTGTGTGTGTGTGTGTGTGTGTGTGTAAGAGGCGCGAAACGGGGACATCATTGTAAATACACACCAACAGACCGGGGACACACCTCGAAACGGGAACGACCCCGTCTTTTAATGTCGGCGTAAATGGATTGTAAATAACTTTTTTAATGACGCAGACCTTAAAATAGGCGTATCTCAGCTTGTCCCCGTTTTGTTGGTATATTTTGAGATCGTGCTATACACAACAATACACACCTCCCACTCGATTCAAAACATCCTATCAGTGTGTATCAGTCGGAAAAATCCGTCATCGTTTAAGTTTTAAAAATTCTCACTTTTTGCTGTTGGTTTGTGCACTTCGCTTCTGAAGCACTCACCGATGATGGGATCAAGAAGACCTAACATGATTTAAATCATTTATATATATATATATATATAAATATATATATATATATATATATATATATATATATATATATATATATATATATATATATATATATATATATATATATATAACACAGGGAGCAATATCATTAGATATGTTTATTAATGGATATTCCAACGTTTATAACACCTTTTGCCAAACTAGATCGGGAACACAAGAAAACTGAATTAAAAGTTTCATGCAGATATTGTGCACGGTTTTCACAATGGGCAAAAGATTCTAGCAATTCATCCGTACCTGTATATTTCATTTCCTATTTAAGTCTGAGCCATGCACATTTGGATACGAAATACACTGGAAGATATGAACATCAATTTTTGTTCATTCAAATGTGGTTAGAAGCATAATAACGATCAGTCTATATAGTACCTTAAGCACTATACCATTTCTTTCCTCCAGTTAACCGCATTAGAGTTAAATCTGAGAATTTACGTTTGAGCCAATAGGAAATGAAAAAAGAAACAAAAAAACTTTTGTAAGTGTTTGTAACTGGCACCAGTCACGACGCTGGAAAAAAATCAAGTTTTCATGCTCATATGTAGTGTTTCTCTATGTATAAAAAATTTGCATGATGGCTGATGTATATATAATCTGCAATCAAATAATGTTTTTCACTCAGAGGTAAATTATCAAATATTTCTCATTCTTTAAATTGTCTAGTAAGAAAGCGTACCATTATCTTCACGTGGGCTTGTGGTCCTTCTCAAAATCTTTTTAGGTTCCTCCTCCATTAATAATACTGGCCACCATTTATAGTCCACCATGAGCAGAAATCTAGTGCTAAACCCCACAAAAATAATCATAAATTTCTTAAAATAGGACGTCGCTGACTTTTATTTTAAAACCCCTTACAATGAATAGGCGATACACAGTTTGTAACCAACTCCTGAACAAAGATGTATTCAAGCGTTTGATACATTTCTAAAGACACCCGTGTCTTCAGACAAATGATCTCAGTAACTTGCTGGGGAACTTCTCCAAAATATATTGACGTAATATTCATGGCTGGCTGTGCCTAACACTTTCCTTTAATTATTGAAGGACACTATTCCAGTCTGTAGGTTCTGAATTAGATGTATATAGTATAAGTAACATATGTTGCAAATATAGAAAATGATTTGTGTGATATAATGATTTCGCTCACTGATGAATATACTGAGGCTGACCACATTTATGAGCATTACTACACATTATGACGCGTGAAAGCTATGGAGAATTAATTAATAATATGGCTTAAACTAACTAAATAAAATTGCTTATGTTTAAACCAGAGTGTCTCTTCCTTGCTTATTTGTACAAGAAAGTGGCAATTATAGTACAAGTCACGTGAGCGAAGTATATCTTCATTGCTGAATCTCATCGTATACTCACACATGCTCACAACATTATTGCACACCAAAGCAGTTCCGCCAGAGTTGAGGCGAAGTTAATTTCTTCACTAGTCCACACATTTCAATATTCGAACAGGTCCGATAACTCCGAAACTCAGTTTATTAATTAATTTGTAACAAATATCATCTATAGCAGGGGTTTTCAAACTGTGGTCCGCGGACCTCTTGGGCTTCATCGCATGTTGCTAAGTGGTCCCTAAGCAGGTCCCAAGAACAAGAATTAAAAAAAAGTACATTTGACAAGTTTCCATTATCATCAACATTATAAAACCAACTGAGTACCGAGCTGTGTTGACTCTTATTTTATTCTATGGTTATTACTTACCGATGGATTACATAAAATAATAATGTCGATCGACCAAATTTATTGGATAGGTTGATAGGGGTCCGTCATCTGACAAACGACATGCTATAGGGTCCACAGCTTCAGAAAGTTTGAAAACGACTGATCTATAGTTTTAACTGCTCCGGTGGCCTAGTGGTTAGAGCGTCCGCCGCGGAAGCAAGAAGTGACGGGTTTGATACCCGGCTGAGACATACCAAAGACTAAAAAAATTGGTACTAACAATTGTGTTAAGACTGGTTGGCCTGGTGTTGGGATAATGTGACTGGGTGGGACATGCCACATGCCTGCGGCAGTATAACCTAGTGCTAAACATCACTATATACTGTCTTACTGCAGACAACGTAGTGATATGAATGAAAACTTTTTAAAGCCACTTTACAAATATAGATCACATAAATCACATCTATAGTTTTCGCCAAAATAAATTAAAGAAGCCATACATTTGTCAAAGTCAGTTGGAGATGGAGAACCAGTTATTAGTTAATGTTCTATTTTTATGACGTCTAGTTGTTTACTCATTTTCAATATTTCAGTTGGGGTTTCTAATTTAGACAACATAAATTGTAATCGATTAAAATGTTTGAAATCATTTAGTAAAATGTTATAAAATATGACTCTTTTTAAATTGTCTTCAATAAAATCATCTATATAATCAAACCAGACAAAACTGACTTTATTTAATGTATTTCCAAGCATTTGAAGTTTGAAATAAGACAGTACGTATGAAGAGTTCATATACAGTTCTACACCCATCACATAAACACTCTTCTCCACCGTTTACTTTTAAATACATCGATCTTGCCATGTATGGTAGGTATCGAAGTTAACATATATGGCTCCCAGCCAAGTGGCAGTCAATATGGCTGAATCTGCAATCAGCAACATAAGGCAGGCAGTTTGCTGTGGTATCGTGTTTTTTTTGAGAATGAGAAGCAATACGCATACATGCACCATTATTTTGATAAAGATATGTTTGAGAACTCTCTATTTTAGTAGTATTATAATGGTGCTTTAAGATCTGAGATACCAATCTAGATAAATGCTTTCTAATGTACCCAACTACATAAACAATTTGGCACACGCGAGTGAAAAGTTAAAGTACTCTCGTAGCGAGCTAACGTTGGTCATTGCTTGCACCGCCGTGATGTATAATATATATTAAACCCGCCCCGGTTAAGAATGATAGTTCAGTCGAAAACCAATATGGCAATGTCATGTTCGCTCAAGTGATGACGTGAAATCGCGTGAATCGGACAGTAATGAAAGTAAGAAATGGCAGCCAATGAGTTGAGTGGGTAAAATAGTTCGCGTTGAAATCCTTACAAATATGTACAGACCTACATCCAAATACCAACAGCAGCTGAGTGAACTCAAGTTTGGCAACACAAAATTTCCTGTACACGTTCCACGACCATATTCAGAAAACTTAAACTCAACCCCTTTATTACCGGTAATGTATTTGCTTGAAACAACGGCATTTATGCGACTCAACTATTATTATGAGCAAGACTAACTTAGGATGATCTGCTGTTGTTGAACAAGAGGGAAAGCTCAGAGGCATGGGGCTACTACATGTGAATAAAATCTATTTCCAGGCTGCGTATCCGGCACAGCAAATACAAGATAAGAAAAAAGTTTCCTTGTCGACGCTGCCGGCATAAATTCAAGTTTCTTGATGACAATAACTTTTAAAGTTAACGAGAAGCCAAAGCGTACTGTTATGCCATAACCAGCCAAGAACATTTTGAAATTAACGCGATACAACGGAATACGTGATCCACGCGGATTTTGAATGTCTTAAAAGTTCTCGTTTTAACTGCGGTTCTTGCACTGTAGTCAGACGTGATTTACAATCTGAGCAGCCAATGTTGTTCCTAGGCAAGGACCTAGTTTAAGTGTTCTTTCAATTGCTCGATTTTAGTGGATCAGACGATAGCCTGGCTTGCTTGCCAATATGCTTAAGACCTGTGATGATATTCGTTTTGTACAATATCTCATTGCTAGCAACCTGGCTAATATCCACCGGTCAGAAACTGCAAGATCACTATCACATCACTTGCTGATATAGAGGAATCTCACAAAACGCATGTAACCATTCCGGAAAAGAACAGTAAAATGGATCAACGGAGGCTAAGATTATATTTGGGAGACATTCGACGAGGTTAAAGGGTGAAGCTGCTGTTGGCAAGTCAGCGACTGCAGCATAAGTTGGTAATAGCATTGACGAAGTGTGTCCAGCCGAACAAGAGTTGTGGCTGATTTATCTAACAGCACCAAGGAAACATTACTGAAGATGGTTTCATGTGAAAACTCCCAATGAACTTTACCAAGATGACTATTTGTTCCTTTCGAAATATTGGGTACGCTGACAAATATATAAATGCGCCTTAACTATCAGAGTTGTCGCTAACAGATACAATAAATCCGAGCTGTCGACTGCTAATATGGAAAAGTCGATCATAACGTGCATGAGTGCAAATGAGACAACCACTCGCCAAATATCGTCACCGCTTTCAGGGCCGCCGAATAATCATTGTAGGTGTTTTGGATCTGGTGATGCTCTCCTGTATAATCCAACTTGATTTCGAAGAAGGATGAGACATGACTGTTGGTGCATCACAGGTTATTGGCGTCTAACCAAATGAATAATATAACTGTTCTCTTGTCCAGGGTTGTACCCAATCGCACTCTAAGTGTTTGCTGGAGCTTAACGATGGTTTGTCATTAAAACACCGCCGTGAATGTCACGTTCAAGAAACAACTAATAGTCTATGTCAGTGGAGAGTTTCAAATTAACCTTGGTTTTTGACAACAGCGCATCCCAAGCCAATCCCGGTAAGTAGTTGTGTGTACTGTTAACCTCGTACACATACATGGCGGATTGTTGGAGCGCTACAAAGATATCTGCGAGTAGAAATACGTCAGTGCGCAGATATGATAGTCACATAAGTTTCGATAACAAAACTCGGACAAGACCTTGTTCGCTTGCGTGTAATTGTCAGCGAATATTCTCTAGCAGGCCAAGGATGAGACGTCAAACGGCGGAAACAGTTTCGGAAAATTTGTTTCAGTCGCTTAAATAGGCGTACGGTTAGATTTCTTTGCACGCAAGCAACTTAAATGATTCATCATCATCAAAACTGTACTGAGTGCTTGTAAAGTGATCGTCGTCGTCCGCCGTAAGGTTGTTCACGTTTGTGTCCCGGCTGTAATTGGGAAACTGCATTCAGTCAATGAAGTGCAGCTGACTCAGGCGTAGTTTCATGCATTTTCGATGTTCGGGAAGACGCTTATTTTTGCATTTGATGCCGTCGTGACGTCTTGCGTGATGAGGTGAATATCGTACACATGCACGCTGTGAAGCACAAGCGGATTGTTTGCTTTGCCACGGTTTATTATCATTAGTAGGATGTACGACTGATGGGAATCGAATCATGGACAATGTCCATTTTGACGAGTTAAAGTGCACTAGTATCTGTTGATGCTTTGCAAGTGAGATCATGTCATTAATGTGCAGAATCGACGTGGTTTACATTTATTTCCAGTAGTGTTATAGGCATGCAATCGTTGGATCTGGGACTGGGAGAGAGTCAACTATGCTTCTCGGCAGAATATTTACTCCATGGTACAAAGGGGAATTTTGTAGACTCAACGGTGATATCATATCCAAATTTTATTTATTCCCTGATCGTCTACCGTTTTACCGGCTTAACCTAAAAGGTCCAAAACCGGAGATTCTCACGAACACAAACCACTTTGCTCCACACCGGACAAAAGTTTCCCCGATTTCGGCAGGATAATTACCTTTATAAGCCCACGTTGGATTCGCGGTGGGTGTTTGCACACGGATTTTAAACACTATGAAGATGTGATGATTTGTATAAAACTGACATTCAAATGACACTACAAACGAAAGAAGACTCCGCTGTAATTAACTTCTACGCGCAGAACGGCCTCAGACGTCCAAGCAGGACAATGAAACCAGCTCAGTTTTTCCGAATCGAATTTCCGCGCTGGTCATTGACCTTGCCGGGTCTGGAAAAAAATTAACTACTGCTCAATTCGCTCATGCAGTGTTTCACGAGATATCAGCTGCACGGGACGGTCGGTCGTGTTATAACGCACTCAAGAGATTTCGAAGATACGCATTCGTCGTCAAGTAGCTAAGCTGCAAGTAGCAAAACTGTTGTACATTTTTTTTTCAATATCAATGGAGCTCCCGACATTGGCGCCCTTAGGCAAGTAAGGCAACTTTCGAGAGTGTTTTTGAGAGATCGCCAAAAAAATTGCTGATGTCTTTGATGTGACGCGACTATACGATCACGTGCAAATGGTGATCCGCGACCTCTACAACATGTCGATATTTCGTGGGGTTAACGCGTACGCGCTTTCTACCATTGATTTGGCCTGCTATGCTACCGATGTTTCGTTGGACGGGTTACGGAATGTATTCCCGTTGTTTATTCACGACCATACGGTTTTCTCACGACTCGTTTGATCGATCTGGAAAGTAAGTATTGCGTGAGTTCACACGAACATGCCTCAAGTAAATGCGTCTCACACGAACAAGTCCGATAAAGCAATTTAACAACGGCGGTAAATGTATACTGTACCAATTTCTGAACTCTCAAAATCGCTCTAGATCTCTTGGTTACCAGCGAATATTAAACAATTTTCACTGCGGTGTTCGAAACCGTGTTGACGAAACCATGCGCAGATTCCAAACCGATGCGCTAACGCACAGGTAGAACCAAACTAGGTATCTGATTCGCAAGCAGCTAAAGACAAGTAAATAATTCCAATAGACTCCTCTGCTCTGGGAGATGGGATAGGAGGGGGTAGTTGTGGCATATTTTCAGCTTAGTGCGCTTCACGCGGTCGAACTGTACCCTTAGAGATATTATCAAGTTAGCCCAGGGTGTGCCGGACGCGACTAGCCCATCGCTCTTCACTCGATCGCATTCTATTCATTAATCCAGCTCATATAAACCTGTTGATTTTCTGGACGGGTTTAAATTGAATAAATTATGCTGCCGGCGTTCGCACCATAACGAAAATATATTCGATCTTCATTCGCGTATACACAAGGAGTAGTCGTGTGATACTTGACGGAAATCAATAAGCCTCTAGTTTTCTCGTTTTTTTGTTATTAAAAACGCCAGTCCCGTTTTCTAGAATTCATAGTTTATAT